AAAAAAAAAAAAAAAAAAGTACGGATGGTGCCTATGACGCCAACCCGTTGGGACTATGTTACATGCACACTGGGACTTGAAGGAACTGGGAACAGGACTGTAAGATGTGCGCAATCCTTTCAAAATCCCAAAGAAAGAAAGAAACAAGCAAACAAACAAAAAAAAAACAAGAAAAAAAAACCAACACATGAAAAGGAAAAAAACAAGGACAAAGAAAAGATTAAAAGAACAAAAATTAAAAAAGAAAACGGAATGCTCTTCGGGACATCCGTTAAAATTGGAACGATACAGAGAAGATTAGCATAGCCCCTGCGCAAGGATGACGCGCATAAATCGAGAAATGGTCCAAAAAAAAAAAAAGTTACATTCCTGGTCATTTCCAAAGTGCAAATTCACAATGAAAGACAATGCCACCCAATGGCGAAAGAAATGAAAGCACTTGCAAAGAGATAGAGACCAAAGGAGAGAGAAAGAAGAAGAAGAAGAAGAAGAAGATGTACACCAGCAAGACCAATGACAATTCCCCCTTGTCTCTCCACCTTCCTCCTCCTCCTTCACTTCGCCAATCTTATTCTTCTCTCAATAATAATAATAACAATGAATGGATGAACCAGAATCAATATCCGAAGTTCCCTCTTACTGCTGACTCAACAACAAAACAACAACAACAACAACAAGTCCACCATAGCTATGGCTTCCCTCCTTCAGCCTCCTCTCTCATGCATAGGCTACGGCGGACTAATGAGGACCCTGCCCTCCTGTCCAAAGGACAACCCAAAGCAGCTATGGCGCTGCACTCCTGTCCAAAGGACAACCCAAAGCAGCTCTGCTGCTGCTGACTGGTCCGCCATGCCTGACCCTGCCTCAAGCCTCCTTAGTGCAGCACTACCCCAACTGGGGCCTTCCAGATGCAGCGCCCAACAAGGTGATGAAGACGGTGTCCACCATAGCCAGGTAGGTGCCTCGCCACTCTCCTCCTTAGCCCTCTTCTTCCTCCTCCTCAAGCTGGGCTGCTTGCCATAGCCAGGCTGAGCGCCAGCTGCCCTTCACCTCCAAGCAGCRCTGTAGCAGCCAGCGCTGTGCTCCAGCAGCATGTCGCCAATCCTTGCATACCGCAAATGAGGAAGAGCTCTTCGCTCTCCCTGGAGATATAGCGGCCTACTGGCCTCCTGGGCGGTGACTTCCTTGGCYGAGCRGCCTCCCAGCAACCGGTACCTCCTCCTTTTCGGAGGGAAACATCATTGCAGGCGMTGCTATCCTCCGTACAGGCCCTAGACCTGGGCTACTTGGACTGGTACCGGCCTACCTCTATCCTACCGCTACTGGGCCTCTAAAAATGCCAACTTTTTGTCTTTGTCTGCTCAGCCTCCAGTACCCGACACTCCTACCACTACTTGAGTGGTACCGGCCTACCTGCTACTTGAGCGTTTTTCCCCGCTGTTCTAAGTGCTGCGAGCCTAACCCCCGCTACTTGAGTGTTTCCCCCCCTGCAACCCTCAAAGTCATGGCCACAGGTAAGTACCGGCCCTACGGGGCCTTTCAACCAACAAGTACCCTTGCGGGTCACACACACACTTAGCCAACAAGCACTCAGACAAGCACGCAAACCAGCAGGCGCGCACACACACACAGACTTGGAAACCACAGCAGAATGCGGGAATCACAGCAAGGCATTCATTCCAGTGGCTAATCCCATAAATCAGCAGTGTTCTCAGTCTGTGTTTTTGGCGGGTCATTACACTATCCCCCTCTCAAGAGCGAGGTCCCTTCGAGCGAGTAACTCATTCAGAGTCGGCACAGAATGCATCGTAGGCGTATATCAAAAAAAGAGATTTAGTAAGACCATGAGGAGTGAGTTTTGCAGAAAACTTAGCAGTCTGTCCATCAACGATCTGTCGTTCATAAGCGTTCACAACATGGGGAGCATTCTTTAGCAGCTCTTTTCGGTCGATCCAGAAGAATTCGGTCAACGGGTGATAGAGAAAGTGAACCTTGTACTGTCTGTTCCTCCCTCTTCCCTCGTGGGAAACAATTCTGTCGATCTCATGACCGCCATTGATAGGACGAGGTATCATAGGATCTCGGAAGGGAAAAGTCTCATCATCAATGTGTGGAAACAGTTTGGACGCGTGAAAGACCGGATACGTGCGCAGATGAGGAGGCACGCCAATCACATATGAAGGACCAAAATCATCCCTAATCACCTTCAGAACCTGCCAAGGGCCATAGTATATTGGAAGAAGCTTTCGTGATACGCCCTCTTCGTCAAAAAACTCAGACATTTTAAACCAGACATAGCTTCCTACTTCGAAGGTCCCTTCTTTGCGCGACTTGTTAGCATGTTTGATCATGGCATGCTGACGCTTGTTCATTGCTGCGATAGCAGATTTGAGCAAGTGTGCATACTTGGCATTGTAGCCAGGCATGCTGGGCGTCAGACCAGGTGACCGTTCGGAGAACAGATAGGAGAGAGGATTGCGCAACTGCCATCCGTATTGCAGCTGATTCGGTGTCACACCCGTTGCAGAGTGAATGAAGTTGTTGTACAACCCCTTCACTTTGTGTAACTCCTTGTCCCATGTGTTTTGATCTGGAACAATTAGCGCGCGAAGTAGTTGGATGACAGTCTGGTTGATTTCCTCAGTCAATCCATTGAGTTTAATGTCGTAGATCTGAGAAGTGAAGTCCTTCCAATCTTTGCTAATGAATCTGGTGTCCCGATCACTCACAATAGTTTTCGGGTGGCCTAACTGCAGAATATACTGCTAATGAAATTCTTCGATGACAAGCTCAGTTGGGGCATGGGGAGGGAAAGGAATCAAATTCAGAAATTTGGAAAAACGGTCTACGATGACCATGACTTGTGAATTCCCTGCCTCACTCACCTTTCCCATGTCCGTGAAATTGATGGAAATCGACTCTCCAAGTCCATCAGGAATGGGGAGGGGCTTCAGCAGGCCATAAGGCTTATGCCTATGGACCTTGGTCCTTTGACAAACTTGACATTCATCAATAAATTTCTGAGCTGATCCTTTCATTCCCGGCCAATCAAACTGCTGCAGAAGACTTCCATAATTCTTCTCAAAGCCGAAATGTCCACTCCGACCGTGTGCCAAATCCAAGAAATGAGTTCGGAGAGGCACATGGTTGGGTACACACAAACGATCAAACTTCCCATACCGGCGGAATACGAGACCCTCGCACTCATGAAAATCAAGCTAACTGCTAGGGTCAGCATCAACAACACAGTTATAACAGCCTCTCTTGTGTTTCAATTCAAAACTATAAACATCAATGTCATGCAACCAGCGGGTCAGTGTAGGAGAGAGATTAGTTTGTCTGAATCCACTGCAAGGTCTGATGATCTGAGTAGACCTTGAAGTGACGACCGAAGAGGTAGTGCTTCAAATGTGCGAGCGCCTCGCGCAAGGCGTAGAGCTCACACATATACGTGGAGGTAGCTACCTTGTGGTTGGGCATGCATTTGCTGTAATACTCGAGCGGACGCAGGCCATCACCATCATCTTGTTGCAGCACTGCACCAATCCCAAACCGGCTCGCGTCCGTAGTGACTAGGAATGTGAGGTTGGGATCCGCAATGCGGAGCACAGGATGACTCACCAATGCCTCTTTCAGGGCTTGGAACGCAGTCTCACATTTCTCACACCACGCACAGGCAACATTCTTACTTGTTAGTCTCGAGAGTGGGTGAGCAATGACAGAAAATTTGGGCACAAACTTCCGATAATATGAGGCCAGACCAAGACAAGAACGCAGTTCGCGTACGTTCGCTGGTTGAGGCCACTTTCGGATGACCTCAACCTTGGTTGCCTCCGGCTCAAGGCCGTTTGCAGACAACCGGTGCCCGAGATAGAGGAGTTGTCCCTTCCAAACTCAGATTTCTCCAAGTTGAGGTGCAGTTGTGCCTCCTTGAGGACCTGCAAAACTTCCTCAAGGTGCTTGACGTGCTGTTCCATGGACTTGCTGAAAATCAGGATGTCATCGAGGTAAACAACAACAAACCTGTTAAGCTGATGGCGAAGAACCTTGTCCATGAGGCACTGAAATGTGGCTGGTGCATTCGTAAGACCGAAGGGCATAACGATAAACTCGTACAGCCCATCGCGTGTCTTGAATGCAGTTTTCAGCTGGTCGCTCGGATCAACTTCAATCTGGTGGTAACCAGACTTGAGGTCGATCTTGGAGAAGACATTGCACCCACCTTCCGCATCTAGCAGATCATCTATGCGAGGCAAAGGATAAGCATTCTTTCTGGTGATCCGATTCAGGCCACGATAGTCAATACACATCCGGAGTTTGCCTCCTTTCTTCGGTACAAACAAGACAGGTGCACCGAACTCAGACTCACTAGGCCTAATCCATCCACGATCGATCATGTCATCAATTTGTCTCCTCAACTCCTCCAACTCGCCTTGTCCCATACGGTAGACGCAACCCTTTGGAGGAACACTCCCTTCTTTTATCTCGATCTTGTGTTTGACCGGACGCTCGGGAACTCCACGAGGTCCGGTCAGAACTTCAGGGAATCGATCTAATAGACGACGAATGTTCGTTGGGACTTCCGGTGGAGGATCATCCTCATCAGGAGAAAGAAAATCAGATCGAGAATTTACAACAATTACAACTGGATTCGAAGTACTTGGATCAGAAGTAGGGTGATTATTCACAGTAGAAGTAGAGGGACTACAAGTAGAGGTGGTAGAAGTAGATTTACCTTCCGAGGTAGAAAATGCAGCAAAAGTAGAAGGCACATGGAGAGGCTTTACAAGAGCTATATGTACATGCTCAGCCTCCTTGCGTCTGCGCACTGATTTGCAGAATTTGTTCGCACTCAAAAGAGTCACAGGGGACTCGCGCGTCTCGTCCAATAGAACGGTACGCTCGTTCCCCTTGGCATCACGCACCACGAACTGATTATCCGCCCACGTGGTCCTTAGGCAATGAGCCTTTAACCAGCCCAAACCAATGACCGCGTCGAACTGACACTTGTCCATGACATAAAAGTTCAGCTCATGTGTGACAGTGCGATCTTTGTCAAAAGTGACGCGCACACCTTTGACAGCATGTGTTGAGGTGACAACCTCTTGGTTGCCCACCTGGGTCTGACAAGGGTTCTGCAACTCCACTTGCTTCATTCCCAGGCCCGCCTTACGAATCCCGTTAGGAGAAAAGAAATTGGTTGTTGAGCCACGATCAATCAGCGCGCGGATGTATCGGCGGTTAATGAGCAGCTTAAAGAAGGTTAGCTCCACACTCCCTTGAACACGGCGTTGCTGCTTGAGCTGCAGCCAATGTTCCAGGTGAGCATGGAAGTCAACTTCCTTAGATTCCTCCCAAGGCTCAGTGTACAATACTTGAACTGCAGCAGCCTTGGATTCAGCGTCGTTCCGGGCTTCAAGAGTAGGCTGTTGATCAGATTCAGGCTCATTGGAGGGGCCTGCAACTGATGGTTCAGCTTCCCTTGTTGTAGAGAGTGTTGATGACTCTTCTACGCCCTTTGCTTGTTTCCCTGCAGACGATAACAGTCCTGCACAGCGTGCCTAGGCTTTTGGCAATGCAAGCACACGTGCAGTTTGGATCTTCTTTCCCATTCTTTTTGACTGATGCGGAGGGCTTCCCAAGGCTTGGTAAAAGCCTCCTCCGATTTCTCAGGGATTTTTCATTCTTGGGGAGGTGTGCTATAGTTCCCCTACCCGAACCACGGATTAGGCCCCTTGTTTGAAGCAGTTTTTTCAAATGCATTAAATTTTTCTTCTTCATTCACGTCAGACTCAATGGCTGATGTAGAACAACCCATATCGGAGTCCGACTCTAGATCGTCATCTAGAGACAGACCATCCGCGTAGGACTGATCTTCAGCCTCCCGATGTTCATGCAGGGCAAGCTGGTTGCTGCTTCCATACCGCTTGCGTTGTGATTTGCCACCTGCAGAGGGTGCCTTTGTACGCCTGGCGAGGTCCTTGGCCTCTAGGTTGACTAGATCCGTCATGAGCTCTCACCAAGTGGTATGGTCTTTGAGTCCTAGCAGGGAGAGGTATTCTTTAGGGGCCACTCCCATGATTACATCCAAGCAAGACACGTCGGTCATTCCCAGGTTTGGAGTGGTGAACAGACCAGTCAAGTGTTGTTCCAAAGCCTGCATGAAGGTCCCCCACGTTTGGCCCTTGAGGGCCTCAAGCTTCAGCCTTGCCTTGAGCGCAGCGTGCTTATCTTGGTATCGTGTGATGAGAAGGAGTTACTATCAGCCATTCAGTCACGTCAATCCTGTCATAACCTGCTGTAACAGCTTGGAGTTCTATGAAACTCCGTACGGCGGGCTCATTATTTGTGCCCATGATCATGCTTCGGTCTTCCTGCGGTGTTCGCAGTACCTCGAAGTATGAGCGCATGGAGCTAATCCAAGAGGTGATGTCCCCTTTCCCGTCATACTTGGACGGCAGAGTGGCCGCCCGCTTGTCCACTACGGGACCGCTGTACTGTACGCCAGTAAGAACTGTGGCGTTTTGGGCTAAAGTTCCTGCATTTGCGACTATGACTAGTGCAGAATTGTCGGCACTGCCACTTGAGGAGCTGGCACCGGTTCCTGCGCTCGTCACAGTTCCACTTGCTCTTGTCATGAGGACTGTGTTAGATTGAGAGACTGGGACTGCAGCAGATCGAGGGTTAGGAGGATGAGGGGCAGACAATTGGGACTGTTTGAGGCTGAGTATCTCAGCCTGCAGCTCTTGGTTCCGCTGCTCCAGTGCTGTCACGCGGGACTCAAGGTCTTCCAAGGTCCACAGTCGAACCAAGGCTGCTACGGCAGCAGCTAGCCTCTCTTGGAACCGGTCAGCATTCGGGCCCGAAAGGTCCTGTCCCGTTGGGCCTGGTCCCACTGAGTCCCAAAGGTCCCAAGTAGGTCGTGGACCAGGACCAACGAGATAGGTGTACCAAGTCAGTCCCAAACTGCCTCTACCGTACTGAAAAGGAAAACACAACTTTTAGCAAGAACTCACCCCTACAGCCGTTCAGAAATGAAAAGACTTTGCACCGTAGGAAGATATGTCATTTAGAACAGATACATCATCCATCCATCCATCAGGTGAGAAAGCAATCCACATGCTCACACACACAACCAAGACCGCAGAGAAGAGGAAGAGAGCCCAGCACACCCCAACAGGCCATGAAGCACCAAGCAACCTCCCACGGGCTAACCAGGTCACACGACACTTACCTGTGAGGCCCCGCCTTCAAAGATGGATAACGACTCACCCCCCTCTCTCATAAGTCCTTCTGACCCTAGCTACCACTGCACGAAGTGTCCTAGCATGACTAAGAGGGCCTTCCTACACCCCTGTTGCAACGCCGGATGTCTGAAGACCAAAGTAGCAACTTGCAGCTCTCCGATGCGGATATGGCAGCCTCCGATCAAGTCTCCCTCTTGAGGGGAAGCCCAAAAGTCACTCAATGTCTTCTTGAAGTGCAGATTCCAGGTGCGAGTACCTCTCACTCTCTACTCCCTCTCGCTTATTCCAATCAGCCTCCTTTGTGTCTCGCCACCCCATCCAATCACTCAAGCAACGTGGTCAGGTCTAATGTCGACCCTACATGACCTAACCAGGTGGGGGCAGTATCCACATACCTCACTGCCCCACTTAACCCTAACTTCCTAACCCTAATCCGAGATTAGGTTAGCCCTAACCTAATTCGGAATTAGGTTTAGGGTGACTAACACCTCTCGCCAGCAAGYAAGTCYGCTTCGATACCAATTGTTACGATCCTGGTCATTTCCAAAGTGCAAATTCACAATGAAAGACAATGCCACCAAATTGCGAAAGAAATGAAAGCAAAGAGATAGAGACCAGAGGAGAGAGAAAGAAGAAGAAGAAGAAGAAGAAGAAGAAGAAGAAGAAGAAGATGTACACCAGCAAGACCAATGACAATCCGCTTCGATACCAATTGTTACGATCCTGGTCATTTCCAAAGTGCAAATGCACAATGAAAGACAATGCCACCCAATTGCGAAAGAAATGAAAGCACTTGCAAAGAGATAGAGACCAGAGGAGAGAGAAAGAAGAAGAAGAAGAAGAAGAAGAAGAAGAAGAAGAAGAAGAAGAAGAAGAAGAAGTACACCAGCAAGACCAATGACAATTCCCCCTTCTCTCTCCACCTTCCTCCTCCTC